CGAAGGTCAGGCTCTACGTGGACTGCCCAGAAGGTGGGCTGAGAGGCCCATCGGGGAGGCCGGCAGCCTGCCCGCTGCCGGCTTCGTCACACTGGGGAGGCTGGCCAAGCCCGGGGACCCCCGGAGCAGCTCGGCCTCGGTGAGCCTGGGCCCCGTCCCGCCGAGCCGAGTCAGTCGGGGGCCGGGGAGCCCCCTCCACTCACTGCCCGGCTGACCCTGCCCTTTCTCTCTCCGTAGTTCCAGCTCCAGTTGCTGCAGATTGTGTGCAGCGACTCCTGGGCGGAGGAGGACAGGTGCTGCGAGCTCCCAGCTTCGGTAGGCGAGGAAGTGGCCACTGAGGACAAAAAAGTCTGGGGGTAGAAGGACCATCCAGGTCATTGCAGCTCTGGGAGAAATCAGGGCAGGCTTCCTGGAGGAGATGGCCCCTGGCCTGGTGCCTAAGCTAGCGTGGCTGGATGGGTATCCTGGGGCCAGGAAGCCCCCAGCTGCGGGAGCGGCCACTGCCATGTACTCAGGCCCACTGACCGTTTCTGTGGGCACAGGTGTGGGCACGAGTCCTCACTGACTCCCCCATGTGCTCACACTGGGCTTGGCCACGCTAGGGGCCTACGAGGGAGTGAGAGAGGGAGTCCTGTCCAGGGCCTGTGCCAGGCAGCCTGGGGGCGGGCACCCAGGGCCTTGTTCCCACCCCTCACCCCAGCCTCCCAGGGGTGGGTTTGGAGATCCCTTGGTCCCCGGTGTCTGTGGATACCCTAGAGCTCAGGGTTGTACAAAAGCCCAGGGGAGGGGTCTGTTTAATGGCAGGGGTCTCTTTCTTCCAGAAGGATGGAGAGTCCTGCCCCGCCTTTCCTTCTGCTTGCACCTGTTCCTTGCAGACCCCTGGGCCCCCGGGCCCCCAGGGACCTCCGGTGAGTTCACAGCTCCTGTCCCGGGGTGACCAGGGTCTCCTGGCAACATCGGGCAGCTGATAGTGATGAGGGTGGCCCCCTCCCACGTCTCCTGGCCATCTTGTCCACCCCGGCCCACAGCTCCCCTCCTGGCTAACCCCCTCCTTCCCACTGGCCTCCCTCTCCCCAGCCGGGCCCTCTCTGCTGTTTGAGCCCACGTCTCCCCACTGGGAAGGCCCAGCGGTCTGCAGCACCGCACTGGTCCTGGGCTGGCCGGGAGTCACAGCCTCTGTTCTGGCGCTCTGGGCTGTGGGGCAGGTCCAGACCCTCTGACAACCCTGAGGCTTCCACTCGTGATTGACAGACCTCACCAGAGAGGGGCCAGGGCAGGAACCCAGACCTGCCCAGGCCGGAGCATGTGCCGTGACCAGCCACTGTGGGTAGTGGGGGGGACCAGGAAACCCTCACCCCGAACCCCCTGCCTCTTCTCCACCTAAAGGTGGGGGCTGGAGTCCAGGGCATTGCTGGGGGGGCTGATGTGCACCCTGGTCTTGGGCGGGGGGTGCTGGGCTCAGCCCTGCTTGTACACCTGCAGGGCCTCCCCGGGAGGAATGGAGCCCCAGGAGAGCAGGGCTTCCCAGGGCCCAGGGTAAGTCATGGGGGTCCTGGGGGCCTGGATGCAGGAGTGGGGCCCCACGCAGCCCAACCCCAGGCGGGATGCGGTGCCCCCTGCACGGCCCCACCCTGCGAATCGTGTGTGGGCGGGCTGGCCGTGATGGGCATCCTCTGCCTTCGCCCGTTTCTCCGTCCAGCAGCTCCAGCCCCTTTGATGGCTGCTGCCACTCTCTTGCTGGACATGCGTCCTCCACCCCCTGCTCGCTGGGTTGCTTTCCTATTCATTTGTGGGGAGCTGTACATTTCGTGGAAATATCTGTGCCCTGAGTCGCGGCTGCATTTACCCTGTTGCCCTCTGACCTGGTTTACCACGTGTGTCTCCGTGCGGACTTTAAAACCGCCTTCTTTGCTCAATGCGTGGTCTATTTCTAAGGCTTTTGGCTTTTGCACCATTATAAAAGGTCTCTCTTAGTCTGAGGGTGTGCACCTCCTTGTGGTTTCTCCTCTTGTTTCTAGAACCTTCAAACACAGCAATGTGGGTTCAGCTAAATTTATTGTGTTTAAGGTGCCGAGGACGACCCCACCCTCCAGCCTCCCCAGACCACTGCCCCGTCATCTGTCCCACTTACTCACAGCGCCCCCGCCCCCCCATTTCCAACGCAGTCTTCCACGCGGCGCGCTTTCCGCAGACCGCCGCGTCCGCACAGACGGGCCAGGTTCTGCCCGCCGGCTGTTGTCAGCGTGGGAGGCGGTTCCTGGCGTCCGGCTCCGCCATCTTCTGCCCTAAATCCTCGTTCTCTCTGTGTATTGTTTCTGTGCCCCAGCTTCTTGTTCAATTATCTTACTTGCAATAGTTTTTTATTTTCAGATGGTTTTCTGGGAATTTCCTGGTTCAAATTTACATCACCTGCAAAACATCACTTCACTGTCTCCTTTCCGATTTTTACTACTCCCGTTCATTTTTCTGGTGTTGCTGACACTCCAGAGTCTTGTCAAAGAACCACGGTCACAGTGGATGTGCTCACCTTGACTTCATGGAAATGCTCTAGGGCTTGCCGGTGGAGCGTGGTACCGGGAGGCAGACACATTATCCATGGTCAAGTCCCGGTCTTACCTGATTAGGAGATTCACAAATGCAAGAACGGATATTAGATCAGACTTCTTGCCTCCTCAACTGCTGGGACGTGACCAAATCACTTCTCTCCTGGAGCTGTTAGTCTGGTGACTGAGCTCAGGGCCTCCCGGGTGCTGAGCCACTCCTGCTCCAGCAGAAGCCAGCGCGGCCCTCGAGCGCCTCCCGCCGCCGAGCGGGCTGCAGGCTTCCCGCGCTCACGCCTTGCGTAGGGCTTCCGCACGGACAGTCACCGCCGGGAAAGCCTGTGGTTGTCCTCGTAGGATCAGGTTCACCTATACGCTTAATTCACAGCAATTATTTGAAACCCGCAAATCAAGCAGTGTGTTTTTTGGGCGGTGGTTATTAGGTTTATTTATTTATTTTTAATTTATTTTTTAATGGAGGCACTGGGATCGAACCCAGGACCTCGTGTATGTTAAGCACACGCTCCACCACTGGGCTATACCCTCCCCCTCGAGCAGTTTAAATGGCATTCGTGTTATCTGTCCCTTAGAAGTTCGGCAGAATGTTCCGGTGTCTATAAATACAGAGCGGGGTCGTAGCAGGACCCCTCCTGGGGTGGCCAGCGAGGGTGAAGGCCCCTGGGTGGCCTCGGGCCTCAGGCTGGTAGGGCTTCGACTGGCAGGATCGAAAGAGGGGCTGCAGGAGGGGCCACGTGCCTTCTCAGCCCCAGCCCCACCCCCACCCCACCTCCAGGGAGATCCCGGGCCACCTGGACAGATGGGACCTGAGGGTCCTGGAGGTCAGCAGGGGTCACCAGGCACCCAGGGCCGAACCATCCAGGGACCCATGGTAGGTGTGGCCTACCCCCAGCCCCCTCCCCACTCTTCTCCCGTCCTCTTGCTGCCCAGTCCATCTTCCCCTCCAGGGTCCACCAGGGGTCAAAGGAGAAAAGGGGGACCATGGACTCCCCGGCTTGCAGGTAGTGGGTCAGACCAGGCTCGGGGCATGTGGGCCGTGTGCTCGGGACCCAGGTCTGGGGACAGGGCCTCCTCCTCTGCTGACCTTGGCCCCAGCCTGGCTGGCCACCTCTGTTCTATTCCAGGGCCACCCCGGCCTCCAGGGCACCCCCGGGAAGGTTGGCATCCAGGGACCAAAGGTGGGAGACGGTCTCGGGACAGAGGCTGTGGGGATCTTCCTCCTCTGCCCCTCACCCGACTCACTCCCCGTCCTGCCCCCGCAGTGGCCTGGCCAGGGGAAGGGAGCGCCACCCAGGTGGACTGGGGCCAGGTGTGGCCCCGCCCGAGGGAGGGGCTGGCCCTGAGATGGGCCGGCCTCTTCTGTTCTCAGATCTAGGCACAAGTGTGTACCCCTCCCAGGTGTGGGTCGGGGGGGTCACCGTGGGAGGGGTGCACAGGCTACGTGCCCCCACCCAGCCTGTCCCTTCCTTTGCCCTCAGGGAATGAGAGGCCTGGAGGGGACATCTGGCCTGCCTGGACCCCCTGGCCCTAGGGTAGGCACTGCCTCCTCTGTGAACCCGCCCACCCCACCCACATCCCCCAGGGTTCTTTGGGGCTGAACGGAGCGCAGCGACCCAGGGCGGCCTCTCTATCTCGCGGGCTGGGGTCTTCTTGGGCTCTGCTGGGCGTGGGAGTGTCCTGTGCCCGGCAGCACAGCAGCCACTGCCCCGCACTGGGGCGGGCTGGTGCAGCCCCTGGTCATGCCTGCACCCCACTTCCCCGCGGCAGGAAGGTGCCTGGGCTCCCAGTTGGGCCTGGGCAGGGTGGGCAGGGCAGACAAGTGAGTCTGGCTGCCGGACGTGGCCTGGGCCCCCATTCTCCCTCCAGACACCCACCGGCAGCCTAGGGCCCCCCTGCTGGAGGGCTGTGGGCACTGCCCCCGTTCAGAAGCACCTTGCCTCCAAGGCCTGCGTCCCTGATATGCTGAGCTCAGTCCCCGGGAGCTGCTCTGAGCGGGGGCCCAGGACCAGCAGCCCAGACCCAGAAGAGACCTCTGGGCATTGGCCTCTGGGTACTGGGGGGCTGGGCTGCCCCTCCTGCCAGAGGCCACCTGGGGCCTGAGCTTCAGTCACACCTGGACAGCTCGTGTAGAGCCGGCAGTCAGGACATTTCAGTGCAGAATCAGCGCCAGTGGGTGGGCGGGCGGGGGGAGCCCTGGGCACAGGGTGGGGAGCACAGGGCCTGCTGGGTGGGTATGGGGCACAGTCTGGGGAGGCTGGGGACAAGCTAAGGGGTCTGCTCTGGGTCCAGGGCTGGGGGTACGTAGAGGGAGGGGGCGAGACTCGTGGGGGCTGCAGCCAAGCCCTACACCCATCTCTGCAGGGTCTCCCAGGCACGGCGGGGGCCAGGGGCAGCGGTGGGGAGCGAGGCCCCCCTGGGGCCGTGGGGCCCACGGTAAGTCCCCTCTCTACCCAGCCAGCCAGCCAGCTGGAAGTGGGGGACAAACGTGTGCGGACTTGTCCCCACTGACCCCTTGGGGACCTCCCATGGCCAGCAGCTTTGAAACCAGGACGGGCAGAAAGCTCAGGGCAGAGAGAGCCCAGGGCTGCCCCCTGCCAGGCCCAGGACAGGCAAGGTCCGGCAGGAGTGGAGCTTGGGCCTGGGGGGCTTGGGGGCAGGCCTGGGCCTGCAGGCTGCGGGGAGGGGGCCTGCAGCAGGTGGAGGAAGGTGGGGCCCGGGGGGCAGGGAAGCCGGAACAGGCCTGGCTGCCTCCTTCTGGAAGCAGGAGAGGTGGGTCCTCTGCCCACTGAGGAGTCCCTGGATTAGTTCTGGCACGAGGCCTTCACCCGGCCCAGACAGAGCTGGGCATGAGGTCTGGTGGGGGGCGGCAGTGGGGTCCAGGCATTTCTCCTTTTCTCCCACTCAGGGGCTGCCGGGGCCCAAGGGCGAGCGAGGAGAGAAGGTGAGTGTGGGGTGTCTGGGGCCCAGGCCCAGGGAGGCACTGACCCCCATGGTGGCTGAGACCTCGCCATGTGGTCCGTCTTCCCTTGCAGGGCGAGCCACAGTCCCTGGCCACCATCTACCAGCTCGTGGGCCAGGCCTGCGAGTCTGCCATCCAGAGTGAGTGCCCCAGCCTCCTCATGGGGACCCCAGAGCCTCCCATGCCCCCCACCCCTGCCAGCTCCGTCCTCCCTGGCACCTGGTCATGCGCATACCCAGCCTCACGAGGCCATTCTGGGCCATGTGCCAGAGAGGGAGGGAGGGTCTCCCCACCTCCTGCTGACCGCCTTCCCCCACCAGCACACGTGCTGAAGCTCCACTCCCACATCCACAAGGGCGCCAGGCCCCCCGTGCTCGCATAGTGAGGCCCAGCTCCCTGAGGACAGAGGTGCTGGCCCCCTGGGGAGGGGTCTGCGGGGACTGCTGCCCTTCTCCCAGTCCAGGGGTTGGCTGCTCCGTGTGGCCCAAGGCAGCCCCTGCACCAGGCCTCCTGCCCTCCCAGGCTCCAGGTGGGGAGACAGGCCCATGAGCCCACACGGAGCCAGAGCTGCCTGGCTTCCTGGGGTCCTCAAAGTGGCCCCTTCTCCTGGGAAGCCTGGGCTAGGGACACTACCCCGCCCAGTCCGCCCCTGCCTTCCCTGCTCCGCCCCCCTCCTTGGCTGGGATGACCAGTGACCTTGTCCTGAGTCCATCCGTCTGAGTAGGGCTGCGGTGCTGCTCACAGCTCGGAAGCTGAGGTGGATGGAGAGGCCGATTAGGGGAGACGGGCCTCGTGGCCTCGATGGGGGAGAAAGGAGATGGGTTGGAGTGGGACTGTGGCCGGCCGGCCAGGAGGACAGCTCCGCATGGAGGGCCGGGATGGGGTGAGGATAGGGGTGGGGGGCAGCAGGGGAGATTCGAGGGCCCCCTCTTGCCCTGCCGGGGGCTGTGCCTCTGTGGGGAGAGGGTCCCCGTCCATCAGCGCCCGCCAGCGTCCCGCAGATACTGCCTTTGCCAGAACCGCCCCCTCGCTGTGCCCAGGTGCTTTCGTGGCGCCCACATAGCCCCCTCTCCTGCCCCCCACCTCCAAGACAATGACTGATGCCTGTTTGAGGCCAGAGACCCCTGTCCCCTAGCTTTCAGCCCCGACCAGAAGGCTGGCCCTAGGAGGTTCAGGACCCATCTTCCCCTGGGATCAGAACAGGGCCCCTGAGAGAGGAAACCTTGGCCACCTGCACCGTGGGTCCTAGCACATCCCTCCTTCCCCTTGGCTGAGCCTGGAGCCGTCGGTCAGATGGGCTGGGAGTGAGCCTCAGGGACCCCCGGCAGGAATGGGTGAGCCCCGCCTGCAGGAGGAGTGAGGGGGGTTGCTCAGTAAGGACAGACGGTGCCGGTTCGGACAAAGCAGCGGGGTTGGGCAGCAGCGGGGCGTGTGAGGCTCATGGCCTCAGGGGAGCCCGGCAGGACTCCAGTTGGGTCCAAGAGGCTGAGCTGGCCCAGTGGGAACCCAGGGAGGCCCTGATCGGGGGTCAGCACAGTAGGGAGGGTGCAGCAGGTGTGCACCACAGCAGACACCTGGCCCAGGCTGGTGTGCGGACCTGGGCGGGGGGCATGAGGGGGCGGTGCCCTGAGGGGACATTTCATGTGGACACGCCTGGGTCTGGTCCACCATGCTGGGCAGGTGCGTCCTGACAATGTCAGCTGTCCACTGCCTCCCCCAGACCTGTCCACCCTTTTCTCCTGACAGGATGGACCCTGTGCTGTCCGAAGTGAGCCCGCACTTCCCCCTGGATCAGGGACACCAAGAGCGGCTGGAGAAACCTGGAGGGGAGGGAGAGGAGACCTTCGCTCTGTTCAGTTTCCTGTTCAGATAAACCAGAATGCTTGTCACGGGCAGCGGCTGCGCATTCCTGGGCCCCACATCCATTCGTCCCTGTCCCAGGCTCCCCGCCCTCGTCGCTCAGGAGCCGCTCTGTCCTGCACGGCCTCCCTGCTACCTTAGGGCTCACCCCCTTCCTGTGAGGCCCCGGGTCGTGCTGCCTGGTCCCTCCGGAGCTCCGACCCTGCTCAGGGGTCCTTGGCCTCTTTGCGTCACCTGGGTAGGAGTGGGCTTTGAGGACGTGCCCGACCCACCCTCAGAGGCTGACGTGACCATCGTGGGCGGCCCCTCCCCTAGCGTCGTGGCATCCGGCTCTCCCCCCAGTGCTCAGGCTCACGGCGACCCCCGACCACCCGGCCCCGCCCTGCACCCGCCCACCAGCCCGGTGCCACAGTTGGTGCAGTGACCACTGCCTTGGCCAGCCGGTCCCCCTGGGAGTCTCGCCAGCTCTGGGCCCTGGGGCGGCACCTGCTGTGGCCAATTCAACGTCGAGTCGTTTTCTAAACACTAGAATTTGGTGCGGGGGCGCCTTCAAACACAGTGGCCAATGAAGGCCCTGAGGTGACTGTGGTGCAGAGAAGGAACAGAGTGGGGGACCATGGGACGTTCTGGGCAGGGCCGGGCTGGGAGGACGGAGGAAGCCGAGCGCAGGCTGGGGACGGGGCAGCCCGCTGGAGCTTGGGGTGGGCCTGTGATGGGGGTCTGGGTTTTGTCCTCAGAGCGACTGGAAGCCCCTGCCCGGGTTCCGAGCAGGGGCTGCTGTGTCCTGGCATCTGTTGAAACAGCCTGTAGAACAGACCACAGGGTGCCGGGGAGTGGGACCTCGTCTAGCGTCCTCTGAGAGGGAGGGAGCCGGACTGGGGAGACGACGGCTTGGAAGGGGCGGGCAGGGCCAAGCCCTGGCAAGGTGAGGGGACAGCAGGTCCAGGTGCCCTCGATCAGCCAGGCAGTGCAGGGGAGGGGCCAGGTGAGCTGGCGAGTGTGGGGTTCACACGGCAGACACGTGGGGGCCACCCTCTCAGGGGTGAGTGGATGCTGCGGTGCTGGTGCCCCTAGGAGGGAAACAGGCTGGGGCCATCCCAGGACTGAGCCCCGTGCGTCTCCAAGGCCAAGCGGGGCCGCTGAGGGTGGCAGCAGGAGGGCATGGACCCTGCTGAGAGCCCCTGTCCGGATGGCCAGCGAGGGGCCGATGAGACGGCGCAGGAGCTGGGGAGTGTCTGGTACAGGCGGCAGGTGACACCTGTCCCGAGAGCCGCCGTTGTGGGAAGGGAGACAGGCAGGAGCGGGCACTGGCTCCCAACGCCCTGCCCAGCAGCCCGGCCTGGGGGCTCAGGGTGCTGGAGAGAGACCCCCTGGGCCCTGGCCCTTTACAGTCTGACCTGCGCCCTCAGCTGCCTGCACAGCTGTCTACAGGAAGCCCTTACAGGACAGTAAACGTCCCTCCCGAATCTCTCCTCACATGCACACACACGCGTGCATCTCCCTGTGCGTGCACACACGGCCCCACACATCCACACGCACAGCACATCCTGGCGTTGGGAGATGAGTCAACAGGGGAAAATGAGACAGACGCCCGGCCCAACAGGACGCCGGAGAGAGAGGAGGGTGCAGGCTCCTTTGGTCCGTTAACTTAAAAATCACAATATCCTCACGGAGGAAGGATGGAGGGTGAGAACACGAAGCCGAAATGGACAGGTGGGAGGAGACATGGCAGGAAAACGGGAGCGGGTCAAGGAGGCAGGCTCAGTGCTCACGGGCTCAGCCTCGGCCGGGCTGTCGGATAAGGTGGGAGAAGCCCCCGGAGGCTCGGGGAAGGCTAAACATAGAAACGGAAGCCTTGCCTCCGAACAAGGGGCTCAGAGCAGACAGAAACAGTCGACGAAGGGGTCAGCACGTTGAAATGAGAGCTTTTCCAAGATCAGAGACTTAGAGAAATATTTAAGATCCCCGACTGAAGGGCTCAGAGAGCCAGGTGGGACCGGCTTTTAGAACGAACCCTTAGAGTCACTGACGCGAAACGAGCGAAGTCAATGGGGAGATTCTTTAAAACCTTGTCCACAGAAGAGCAAGACCCTCGACGTCGGAGGACGGGAGGACATGACCCCAGCGTTGGGGGAAAGAGCTCAAATTTTACACCCGGCAGAACTGCTTCTGAAACGGACGCGGTGGGAATGGGATCTGAGGCCCCGGAAGTCTGAGAAGGCCAGTCACGCAGCACCCAGGATCCTCTTAGAAAGGAGGGGGGGTTTTCTGCAGAAAGGGGGAATGATGTGCAGTTCTCTGCAGGGCCGGGGCGGGGGCGGAGGCAGTGAGGGGGGGCCCAGGCCAGAGCCTCTCCTGGGGTTCCTGAGGAGAGGCAGTGCTGAGCTGGGGGCAGCCCGGGACTGGCTAGTGGGGGTCATTCCAGGAGGCCTTGGGGTGCAGGGGCTGCTCCTCGCTGCGTGGCACCTGGCCCTGGGTGATCAGGACAGGAAATGCGGGCTTGGCATGAGAGTAAGGGAGTCTGGAAGGCCTCCCGGAGGTCGAGGCACCACAAGGAGCAGAAATGAAACATGGTCAACGCAGAGAAACGAGAAGGCCCACGGAGACCTGCGTGCGGCGGCTCGGGTCAGAGTGACCGGACAGAGGCCAGCACAGGCGACAGACAGACAGACAGACGTGGTTTAGATTATCCAGGACAGAACGCGGCATGGCAGCCAAGGGTGACAGACAGCGTCTACGGATGGAGACAAGGTCGCGGTGGGTCTGCACCACACCGCGCCCAGGACCGGCAGGGCCACAGGGCTTCCATTCACACCAGGGTCAGGGCCGGGCGGTGCCCACCTCTGGGGGGACGTCGGAGCACGGGGTGGCAGGGCTGCCAGCTCTGGGGGGCGGGGACCCAGGCGTCAAACTTAGTGAAACTCACTGATCTGAGGGCCTAAGACCAGGTAGTCTGTCATCAGTGAATTTTATTTACCTCAATCAAAAGACCCCTGGGAGCAAATATCCCAAAACAGTGCTCGTGGTTAATGTGGTGGGAATGTCAGTGCTCTGTGCGCTGGGGGGTTTTCTGACTTGTTTCTGTCTCTTAAAAAAAGAAAAATGAAAACAAGAAAGGGGAAGTTCTGGGCTCCCAGTCTCTCCAGATCCAGAAGAGAGTATCTGAGCTGGGCCCCCCCAAGGCCCCCCACAGCTGCCCCACGTCTGAGCTGGGCCCCCCCAGCCCCCTCACAGCTGCCCCACGTCTGGTGCTGGCCCCCCAGGCCCCCCCACAGCTGCCCCACGTCTGAGCTGGCCCCCCCAGCCCCCACCACAGCTGTCCCACATCTGAGCTGGCCCCCCCAGGCCCCCCCACAGCTGCCCCAC